ATGAAAATAAAAAGGTGAAAGGAAGAGGAATGATGGTAGACTGGGGGGGGGGGGGGGGGGGGTAGGAACTTGGGAACCGCCCCCCCTATGAAAAATTTCTGTATCCGCCACTGCCTCATGGTGATGATGTTTCGTACGTAATCCTCCTCATTGTGCTAGGAACTGCATTACCTAGATATATTGTTATGGTTATACATGTTTTAACCCTTTTAGACTCTTTGGGACGTCGCCAAGTAGCTAAGCAAATGTATTGGTCAGCCTATATAAAATCCATGAATATATTTAAAATATAATTTAAATCTGAGGTGAAATTCCGTACATTTGATGCCTTTTGGAATAATGGGTGCGACAAAAAATGTCGGTTCAATCGGATTGGTATTTTTTTTTAGATGTACAAAAACCCCCCCCCCACAAAGTTCAATGAATCGATACCACTAAAATGAGGGGCAATAATATGGTCTACGGTGTGGCTCTATGCGACCTGCGAGGAGATTTCGGGAAAGAAAAAAAGGAAAGGAAGGGAAAACTGGAACTATTCGTGGAGGCCTCATCTAGTCCTCTCCTCTCCGCCATGTTTCATTTTCGGTGTTTTGGTCTCGACTATAAATTTTTTCTTTTTGGACTGCACGGTATAAGGGAGGGTGGGGCACCATGGACAATTTTTTTTAGATTTTTAGTTCTCAAATTTTTAGTTTAGTTTTGCTAAGATTTCCCGAAAATTTGATGATACATAACTTGATATGTTCCTCAACGTTTCCCATAAGTACAACTTTACAACACAGTCTATATCCATATGGCACATTTTAAAAGGTTTATGTTCAAATGATCCATGGTGCCCCACCCCTGAGGCACGATGGACTATCCCTTTGGGCTCGGTGAGTCATCTGCTGAACGTGGGGAACCATGAACTGCCTTGTTACATTTCTGCTTACAATATTTAATATCTCTGGCATCATCATTTTGCTATTTTGAAATTCCAAGCGTTTTTTGTTGCAAGGGTGAATAGAGCTAATTTTGTACCTTTACTTATTTTTGTGACCTTTCCATCTTACTCATCTTGGACTAGCTTATTTATTTTACTTAAAGAACACCAATGACTGCAAGATAATATTGTGGCATCGTACTTGACGGGGCATTATCAGGGCCGCCCAGAGGAGGGGGGGGGGGGGAATTTGCCCCCTGGCCCCGCGTATCAAGTGGTCCCAAGGAGGGCCTCTAGGGTCCCCCCAACGGGTCTCCGGTTTAGTTTTGCCCTGGGCCCCTGGAAAGCTCTGGGTGGCCCTGGGCATCATGGATCCCCTGTGGTCCATGGTGCTCCCGTCTGATTTTTTTTGCATAAGAAAACTAAAGGTCATAAAGGTAAGTGCACAAACTCTAAAGTTAGCATGATACCAAGACTACGAGTCTGTCTAGGGGCAGAAAAGCAGTCCTCTTTATTTTTGTCCCTTACTCAATTTATTTTTTAAAAATTTATTTGAAAATGCTCCATTTCTTCAAAATTACATGAAAATAAAGGCAGAAAATCAATATACGAGGATCCATCAAAAAGTTCCTGGATTGGCCTTAGTACGTAAAAACTAGGTATACAAGTTAGGTTTTAGTATGATCCCCGTCGAAATAGCTTCCTTAGCTTACAGTGCATTTCTCCCTACATTTGTAAAGAACATGGAACACTGGCTGTAAGCCATTCTTGGTAACCACATTCAACGCCTTCGTCGCAACTGATTGGAGAGCGCCTGCGTCGACGAAGCTGCGGCCTTTCAAATGGAACGTCATCTGGGAAACAGTGTCAAGTCACAAGTCGCGAGGTCCGGTGAATAGGGAGGATGTGGGAGCAATCTCACCCCACGATTGAATAGAAATGCCATGTTACTGCCATGGTACTGATTGATTACCGGCGGTTACTGCAGACAAGCTCATACAGGGCCTGCACAGTTTCTCCTTGACGGCTTTTTGATATCCTAATTCTCGTGTTTGTGAGAGTGGCACTATCGATTCCGCGAAGGGCAGGAATCCATTAAAGATGACAGATGCAGTGGACGGCCATCGAAAAGCCGTAATGAGAAAACTGTGCAGGCCCTTCCGGAGCTTGTCTGTTGTAACTGCCGGCAATCAATCAGTACCTTGGCAGTGCCATAGAATTTATAAACAATTGCGTGGTGAGATTGCTCTCGCATCCTCCCTATTCACCGGACCTCGCGACTTGTGACTTGACACTGTTTCCCAGATGACGTTCCATTTGAAAGGCCGCAGTTTCGTCGATGCAGGCGCTTTCCAATCAGCTGCGACCAACGCGTTGAATGTGGTTGTCAAGAATGACTTACAGTCAGTGTTCCACGCTCTTAACAAACGTGGGGAGAAGTGTATCGCAAGCTAAGAGAACTATTTCGAAGGGTAGCATACTGAAACCTAACTTGTATACCCAGTTCTCACATACGATGGCCAGTCCTGGAACTTATTGATGGGTCCTCGTATGATCTTATGAGTGAACTTGAGCTGGTTTGTGAGGGCATATGTAGTGAGTTTTGTTATAAAATCTTCGATTCTCGAGGTGCTGGAGAAGATGGTACATCGTGCCCCATCTTCCCCTACTCTAATGAGAATTTACGAATGCACCGCAGATGCATGAAATGGGTCAATCACAATTTAAAAGACCTCATTTGGGAGGGTATGCGAGAGCACGCGAATGCCGATTTACGACGACGGAACTGCGTTGCGTTTTCTGTAGATACACATGGCTGGAGTTGTTGGCAGCGGGCGAGCTTAGAGACTGGTCCGAGATTCAGCGCCTGGCACGAAACAAGAAGTTACCCGTGGACTTCGACGCTTTCGTGGACGTGTGCCTCGCGCACGGAAACTTGTCCGAAGCGAGGCGGTATCTCCCCAAGGTTCGACCCGAGAACGTCATCAAGTATCACGTACGCGCCGGGTGAGAGCTCTCGCGTTGCCTACATCGAGCGTTCTAACCGCGTTTAGGTAGATTTATACTGAGCGGAAAGTGGTGGCGGAAGTTGAAGAACCGAAGAACGGAATGGAAATTTCCGCTTCCCACCGTCGCCTTCGCCGAGCGGAATTTGTACTGAGCAATCACGGCAGGGTTCGTTCAACATTGCGCCTTTCACTGCGAAGAAATTCATAGCTCTGCCCAAGCAGCATTTTTATGTTAATTTTACGTAAAACGAATGTAAATTTTTTGTCCATTTTATATCTTTTTTACGCAAACCATCATCAAGATGTCAACATGTTTGCAGAAATTTCACCTCTGGAATACGTGTACGGTGATATAAAATAAACGTAAATTTTACGTAAAGTTGACATTCCCGTTTACATCCCCAACATTCATTTTACGTAAAATTGATGTTAATTTCCCCCTAACATTCACGTGTATTTAACGAGCCAATTCGTACTTTTGAAGGAAATTAATACACTGTATTTCTCATTACTTTCCATATTCTGGAACTCCAGGGTACTTGGACGAGTATGCGAGCACACAAGTACTCATCCTCACCAGTACTCGAGTACCAAGATGACTCACTGCTTCCTTCTCCCGCACTGGAACCTCGGGAGGAGGAGTAGAAGTTTAGAAGAGCTCTCCCAAGCAGCATGTTCACGTAAACAAGATATCAATTTTTTGCAAACAATGTAAATTTCTTGCGATTGCCATGCAAATTNAAATTTACGTTAATTTTATATCACCGTTTACATATCACAGAGGTGACATTTCTGCAAACATGTTGACATTTTCTTGACAATGGTTTGCGTAAAAATGATATAAAATGGACAAAAAATGTACATTCATTTTACGTAAAATTAACATAAACATGCTGTTTGGGCTCTTCCATTTAGGTTAGAGAATGTGTAGTACTTCAGGAGCGGGCATTCTACTATTCCCTAATCCCGTGAACTGCTGTAATAAAAAGCTTAACTTCAGCATTTAATGATTCCCTGAGTTATATATTATTTAAAAAATATATAATTTCATGTTTTCCATATATATATTCATGGATTGCATTATAAAAAGTGGAAGGATGGTAAGAAAACCTGATACTATATCAGGAAAGCCAGTACTTAATAGCATTTGTAGGGTGCGGGGAACAAGGGTTCCATCTAGTGAGGAATCTTGGTATTGCAACTGCGGGACGGTCAGCTAAAGTTTCATATGGATGGTGTGGTGTTGATTTCGCATAAACTTGATATCATGTTCTTCACGTCAGATGGAGTGACGTCTGGTTTATGTAAAATACACGTACACTTTGGTGACGTAAATATAGGAACGTAAATTTTACGTAAACGTGATGTAATTTGCATGGCAATCGCAAGAAATTTACATTGTTTGCAAAAAATTGATATATTGTATAGATAAACATGCTGCTTGGGTGCTTTTGCTGATCTATCAATCGGTATTGCAAAATGTGCAAAGAAGAGAAGATGGAGTGTGCGGCCAATATTTCTAAGGGAATAGCACTGAGAATACCATGGTATTCTCCGTGCTGAATAAATGCATTGCGTAAGAGCATGCATGCTCCTATGCAAGAAATGCACTTGACCGATGAATAAGTATTTTTTGCACATACGAGGATGACTAAACAGATTCCAAGGTCTAAGGAAAGTTGGATGCAAGCTCCAACGGAAAAACACGAATAGTCGCCGCTCAATCTCTCCAAGTGAACGACTATAATTCCTTCAGAAATAGGGATTCCCGACTGTTTCTGCTTCATTTCTCCCGCTCAATCAAACAGAAGTTCCAATTTATTGTAGTGGGAGGAAATGAAATAAAAAAAAAGCTTCTTAGAACATAGCCAGCTAATGCTCCACAAAGACATTTTAAATAAGGCACGAGGTCTAGTCGTGGTATAATTTGACAAAATGACTAGAATTACATTCTACAGGGTGTCCGAAAATTTATCACCTCATTTGTTTTGCTTATAACTTTTTTATTTTTTACTTTTTTTATTTTTTCTTTCAGATTATTGAAGATCAGCCCAAAAAGTTTTAAAATGAATCGCTACACTCATCAACAGCGCGCCGCAATAGTACTGATTTATGCCAGAAACAATGCATCAATTGTCGCAACACAACGAGGATTTCGAAGGCAATTCGCTCAACAACATGCGCCTACTGCTCAGACCATTCGGCGGTTAGTGGCTCGATTTGAGCAGTCGGGAACCACTGGTGATCGGAGGCATACAGGGAGACCCCGAACAAGTCGGTCCTTGGAAAACATT